AAAAAAAACTTACCAGGTATGATAAAAGCGTATTTTTGCCCTAACAGTTCATCACGTACGTCCACCATGATCCCTGGGAATATAGTGAGACTCACAAAGAACACCAAATAAACGTTGAGCATCTGCGGCCATCCCTATGAAATGTGATTAATAAAAAGAACTAAAGCAACCTTTAATACCCTAACCTGCTTAAAAGCTTCCAGATAATCTTGGGCGGATAATCCACCATTCTTTTCAGCATCTTCAGCTGCCCTAGCCTGCATTGCTCGTTTCGAATAATACTGATAAAATCTCTGGAATTCAGTTAAAATTTTATTGTTTTGATATTGGAAAAATCCTTTTGAGGAATTACTTGTCTCTTTAGAACGAAGAATGAGGCAAAGCAGATGACAAGGGTGAATAAAGAAATTCCGAAGTATGCAAACGCTGCGTTCGCGGTATCTTTAGATACTAAAAAATATCGTCATGGGCAACAAAAATTGGAAGAATATATACAAAAATCTGGAAAGTAAATGAAACACAATATGGAGACTCACTCAAAGTGGTAATGATGTTAACCACAGTAACGAAGGTCCCACAAAGGTTATTACCAATGATAACGGCATTAGTGAACTTGAATGGAAAATCTGACGCGAGGCCAAAGATGCTGAAATTTCTGACTTCTGTCGCCAAACCATTTTTCGCATCGTTATTTTATAATAATTAAAAAGTAGTTTTTATGAAGCTCCCTTCGCATCAGCGAACCTGTAAACTTTTGCTTGACGGTAGAACGTTTTAGACTGGAACCAACACAGAAACACTGTATGTAGTTCTATGCTTTTTGAAAACATAAATACTTATTGACTTTCTCATATCGAAGAATGAATGCACTTAAGGAGTCTTTCACACCATATAAAATGGTGATAAATAGCTTTTTTTTCATGAAATTAAAGCTTACAAACCTGTTTTGGTAGATACCATTGGCTCCATTTAGAAGAACGATAGACAGAAGAGTGATTCCAAAAAATGTGCCCATCCCTGAAAAATTCAAATAGTAGCAACATAATGAATTACCAATTACATTTATGGCCACATAGTAAAAGTTCAACAGCTATCCCAGAAAGTAATATCGACACATCCCCACGCGAAAGTATTTATATCTTAAGGTACTCACATGACCATGTGTCGACGTAGACAAAACTCATTGTGAAGATGATCATTGAGCCGACGATTACTAGAGAAAGAGAGATTCGCTTCGTTAAGTCGCCCCTAAACCGAGTAACAGTACCGAAACAAAGCTCAAACAACAGATATCCATTCTGTAAGCTCACTTGACTGTTACGAAAATGTTAATAAAGTTGAGAAGAAGATTAGGAAATTGAGAGGCGATGGCGAGGTAGTTGAGGAAGTTCGCTGAGTAAACAGTCGCGTGAGCAGTACCGTTCTCATCGAAAGTCTTCATTTTGTAGTTAGTATAGTACTGAAAGAAAAAGCGTAGAAAAGGTGATTAAGAAAAGAGCATTTGAACAGAAAATGATGCAAATAAAATAATGAAAATTTTCGAACTCGCAATGTAGAGAATGTGAATTCTTCGGATATTTCTATGATTTGGAGTTGGCTTTTGAAAGTCACCTCATAAAAAAACTTTCTAATCTAGAGAAAACAATTTTATTCTATTGGTAAAGGTAGCATCCCATTCTCTTAAACTCAAATTATGTGGACCTCTCTAGACGTTAGAAATCATACAACCACTTGTAACAGAAGCATATCTTCTCTCATCTCTTCTACATTTGCATAATCTGCCAATAAGCAATTTGTAAACAATGAAATTGTGTTTTGGGGAAGTAGAATATTTCGCTAAAGTGCAAGAAATTCCGTCAGGGTTAGTTAATGCATTTTTTGG